GGGGGGGGGGGGGGGGGGGGGGGGGGGGATCTTATTTGTTGTGATGCACAACCTGTATCAGGATAATTACATTAGATGAAATATTGATTTATTTAAAGAGGGTATTTGCTGAGCTCCATCACGCCATCTCTGCAGCTGAGCACACTGACACTGAGTAACCTTGCATCAGAACCACGTGGTCTGATAAGACACTCCCAGTGAACTAAAGTAACCTTGAGACAGGCTGACACAGAGAGAGGCTGAGCAACGACATGACGTGACACAGATGAAGGCAAAGAAATGAGAATGAAAGCTTTAAAAAAAAGGGGGGATGGAGACGTTGCATCGAGCGTATTCGTGAGAGGATGCTTCACAAATGCTGCTGCCCGGTACACAATCCATCCTCCTAAAAGCTGGACAACATTTCCCGATGCTTAGTTGTGCTGATGAGTGACTTACCTGGTTTAAAAGTAGCTCCAGGCGACCTGTCCTCTTTATTGTCCAGCCACAGGTACCAAACTTCTCCCTCTTTTCTCTGGTAAATCACTGGAGAAAACACACATAGACATACATACACCTGTGAAAACTAAAACACATACCCAGCTGGGCACTCATCCCATATGTGGAATAGTGAAAAGGGTAGGCAGTGATGAATAACCTATATAAAATGTTGAATCTTCCGAGTCAAATGACCCTGATTTACCAGACGGACTCAAAAGGAGTGAATGCGGATGATGTGACGGCATCAGATTTACTCAGTCTGTTTATTTTGCAGTGAGATCGAAGTACACACATGGGAAAAGTCAGGAAAACCTCTACCAGTAAGGAATAGCCCTGAAATGTCACTTAACCGTACAGATTGGTCTCAAAACAGATGGGATGGTTGGTGATCATGTTTTAGAACGAAAGGTTCTGCTCTCTTCTGTTCCTATCTTCATGCAACATGTGAAAACGCGTTTGGAGGCGCAATGTAACTGAATTTCAAGAGTAGAGCACCTCCTCTACTACTGAGCTTGATGGCAGTGGAATGATGAGGTCTGAGCTTGTTTCACATTTGTTAACTGGGGATTCATCAACTATTGAGGGATATAATGGATTTAGTTTAAAACCAGTATAAACTGAGGAATCACATAGTTAAAGATAGTAAGTAAAGTCTCCTAAAGTTAAAAAAATAGGGGGATGCCTGTTTTGTGTGTGTATATATATATATATATATATATATATAAATATATACATATAAATATATATATATACATGTGTATATAAATATACAGTATATAGGGTCTTACTGTATATATTGTGCTAAGAGCAGCATTATTATGCCCTGGTTCAACTAAAAAACCTTAAATCCATCCATCCATCCATTATCGTTACCTCTTATTCCCTAAAGGGGTCGTGGAAACTGGAGCCATATCCCAGTGGTCAATGGGCGAGGGGCGGGGTACACCCTGGACAGTCCACCAGTTAATCGCAGGGCCAAAAACCTTATAACCTTAGATAACTACAATAGACAAGATTTTATTTCCACCGCTCAAAGTATGTGTGATGACATTTAGATGATTAAGTGTTGTTACAGTTTTACCATCTTCTCTGTTGATGACTGACTCTGAAGCAGAATGATTTGCCACAGCCTGGTTTGGCTTTTGCTTCCCCGTGCCATGCGTTTTGTACTCAGCCCTCTGTCCTTTCAGCCCTGCTCAGTGCACTGGGCGGACCGTATTGCTCCTTACATTTGTCACCTTCAGGGTTTAGCTTAAAATGACATTGAATTATCATTGTCTAGTTACGTTTTTGTTGTAAGATAGAACATTGTAAAACAACGGGACACAAAGTTTACGTCATTAATTACATCTAAAATTCTTGTGTGGCTAACTACACAATTCCCTACAGGGATTTATCAAAAATTCATTAGGAATATTAAAAGAAAATGTTTTTTTAAGAACCTTTGAACAACAACCTCATGCAATAGAACAGCTGCTTTAATGTGTGAATTTATTTGCTGACGTCAGAGCTTCAACCTTGTTTCCTCTAATTTGATTTTTTGTTTTAATCCAGTGAGAGATTCAGCTTGTTTTCACTTCCCTGTAAACCAGCTTGAAGGTGGTTAGTGTTATAAATAGCTCCAGAGCTTTCACACAGGCTAACCCATGCAGATATAAGGAGGCCGCCTTAAAATTTTCATGTAGGCGTAAGACTAGTTTTTTTTGTTTGTTTATTTTGCTGTCAGCAGTCACATATAGAGGTACACCTCTTTACAAGTAAACAGAGGCCTACTCAAATGATGTAGCTCTCCCACTAACCTAGATGATCCAGTGTAAGCATTATCCATTCAGGAAACCTGGAAGATAAACAGAAGTTTTTATTTTTATTTTTTAGAAATGTGTTGTTTTAAGGACCTCATTGATTTTGGCATTGGTTCATCCTGATAAAAATGGAGGACAGCATAGACTACAACAATGTCCCATGTTGTTTTTCTGCTGGAGGCCATTTCTTCTCCTCCCATGCAAATGTTTAGATTCACATAAAAGCACAAGGTGGTTCGGCTGGTACACGCTGCCACTTTTCATCTTTCAATATTTCATTTTCGTGGATTTCTTTCCATCGACAGGGATGTTCATGCTCTGTTTGCCCTGTACAGTATTTTCAAAACTGTAGTTGCAGTTGGACTCAAACTAGCAGAACAACAATTGGCGGAAGACGCAAAGACTAAACAAGGAATGGATATCTAAGCAACAAAGGACACACCAGTCCAGGAAGCCAGTGGGCTTTTTGATAGGTCACACCGATTGTTGAACCTTCAATCTTTATGAATCAACCCTTATTTATGACGTATTGCTTAGAAAAATGTTTAACGTTGAATAAAAAACTGAATCCACTCCCCAAACCACACGACTGAGTATTCCATTCAAACACAGACACACAGAATAGTGATTTTCAAATAAAAAAATATTTAAACTCTCACTGACAGCTTTAAGGAAACTAAAACACTGGACAGAAAAGCGAAATAGGACAGAATAACATACAGTACGTTAAAAATAAAGTAAATACAAACCAAAAATGATGGGTTAAGTTTGAATTCAAATTCCTTGAGAGCTAATATATAAAGGTTATATAAGTCCTTCTAAAAAAAAAAAGACCGGATTACATCTTGATAAAGCTTTTATCAAGATAAAGATGCCTGTTATTTAAAAAAAAAAAAGCATGCCTTACGTGCAGATAGATAAAAATGCTTTCTTAATGATAAACAGAAAACAAAAAGACACTGTTGCCATTACAAAAAATGTTGAAGGGAAAATAAATACTATTGTGATATCAAATATATCAACTTTTATTTTGAAACAGTCAGTGGTCTAAGCAGCCAGTCGACTCGAGTAAAGGCTTTGGGAGGAAGGAGAAATAACACCCACAGGCCAGACATGGGATAATATTAAACCCATTTCACACATACAGCACTTTCACATCCTCCAGAAATGTACATTAGAAAAAGGAGAGGGGCTACAAATGATAGAACTTATACCTGCTTTTTTGGGTGGGGTTTGCATTATTGTTAGCAAGTTTACTCATGAGTGACATCATATCAAATAGAAAGGTGCAAGTCTTGTTTGTGGTGCTGCATAATTCTTCACCCAAAGTTTTTAAGAGTTTTTTTTCCTTTTTGGTAGGCTTCTAAAGAATACCAACAAAAATAAATAAATAAATGATCCCTGTAGCTGAGTGTGTGCAGAGTTGAGTTTGGGCCTTGCTTTAGCCACAGTGACATCTCTTAACTATAGGGGGAGCCAAAGAATTAAGACCGTTTCTGTTCATTAAATGTGTTTTTAGTGTAACCACACATCAGTCCATTTCACATCAGTAACCCAGGCTTACTCCTTTTTAATGTTTTGAGCTTTCCAGAACTGGACAGGCTTTTAAAATGCTTAAACAAGGACAAACAGCAACAATTAGATTAAAAATGAACCCAATTAAGACCTTACTCTGAAAGATACAATTAAATTCCATTTCATTTAATTTATATCGGGCCAAATAAAAACATTGCCATTTCTACACACTTCAAAGTTACAATCTAATTTAAACCAGAGTCCAAGCCATTGTAATACTGTTGTTTTGCAGTCAGGTAGGAATGATTGTAACTCAGTCCAATTCACACCGTGCTAAATATTCAAAAATGTTTCATAGCTAAACCAACAGGTTGCATCAGACCTTCAGATCTCACACACTTGTAAGGATAATTATCTTATTGCCGCAACCAGAATAAAGTCTATAATGAGTTATAAAAACCTAAACTATTATTTGAAATTCCTTCACAGGCCCACGCGGTTACAAATACCACCTGGTGCCAACAGGATACATATCTCAAATAGTGAAAATAATCAGACGTCGGTCGGACGTCGTTCCAGGGTGACTGAGTAAACAGATTGGATGTTTGTCCAACACAGGGACATCTATTTAAAAAAAAAAGAGAGCATACTTAAGATACACCTCACTGGCTATTATCAGATAATTTTTCTTAAACTTATATCATGTTATTGTATATGTGCACAGCAGTAATGGCCCACACTAATAACCTGAAGTGGCCACTCCAAGGCATCCATTTCCTTTCTTCTGGTCATGCGATTGCAAGGACTGCACTCACCAGCTCTCATTTGACCTGGTGTCACCCAGCGTCTGAGGCAGAAAATCCAGGAACTACCAGAGTTCAAAATATGTGCTTTATTCTTTCAAGTGGCCTAGGCAATCAGAATCACTATGCATGGTGTGAGTTCAATCCGTTTTACAGATGTCTGCCAAAGTGACTGAAATACTGTGACTAGAACCAGGATTTCAGGGTCAAAACAGGAAATATGTTCATTTAAATTGATCATTTTTGTCACCTGCAAGGTGCCGTAGTACCTTATTGAACCAACTGTGTGGATGGCTCTGACCACCACTGAAAATATGCAGGTTGTGAAATACTCGTGGTATGTTAAAATAATTCTGTATAAACGCAATGCAAAAATAAAAGTAACCCCCCCCCCCCCTTAGCTCAAGTTAATTCCTATAATTCGCTATTTTCTGCTCCAACTACAGGACTGACGGTGCTACAACAAAATTGCCAAAAAGCTGGACAACTAGGATGAATTTCCCCTTACAATCCAGAATTCCGTCTCCCCTTGTGTTATATTTGGGAAATCCCGCTGAAATAGTGATTTTGAAAACTCCGAGGAAAACTCCCCAGCGTCCCGTCCCGAGGGGGGGCGCGCACTCGTGACTCGCGGCCGGCTGAAGAGCGACGTGCACGCGGGAAGCCCCAAAATGGCGATTAATAACAACCAGGCATCCGTGGGGTTTCCCGCATTCTCTAGGCCCTAGGGCGTTTGCTCACGCTCCAGCAAAACAAGACACCCCCCCCAGAGCAAAAATGTGGCTGTTTAGTGTAATGACGTGAGACGACCGAGCGCTTACATTCATTATTAACTTGAATATTGTCTTATTTAGTTTTCATACCCGGAGTGCTTGGTGAATAGTGCTGACGGGCTCGGTGTTCGAGGCAGTTAGTAAAGTGACAATAAAAGGCTCAACAGTGTGTGTGTGTGTGAACGCTCACAGCTGCTACTTCCGGGCGGCTCATTTTCCCGCCGTCCCAGACAGAAGCACGTGACCCCGGCGTTGTTTGTGGGTGAAGTGCCGCGGCGCCACGCGACCCTGCAGGCCACCGAAATTACTACACCATTTATTGTAAATGCTAGGAGTTCTCAGACCTGCCGCTGTTTATTCTAAAGGGCTGGGCTGGTCTGGTCTCATGCATGTCATACCAACCCAGGACGACCTTTATTATTTTTCATGCAACGTGCACGCGCTCGTTGCACTTTTCGGTGATTAAGACATCTCCTGACCTATTTTGATATGTTTCCCCTTATCAAAACTACTACCGCTGTGATGTTACTTATATAATACAAGAGGCCACTTTCAGCGTATTATGTGAAGGCTAATAGAAAATTATTTCGTGTGAATTCTTATTTGGATTTTGCAGTATGTAATACACCCGCAGGGAGATGTAAAGTGTTTGCAAAGAGCCTTCAAAGTATGCATTGGATATTTCTACATGTCAGTGTCACACAAGTCATGTCAGCCAGGTTGATACTCCTGTTTACGTGCTGCAGGGGCTTGATACCGGCCCCTATCCTGCACTTCCCTGTCGCTTGCCCTAAGCAACGTGATTTCTCGGAAACGGCTTCTCTTCCACTGCAGGCTGAAGTGCGCATGTGCAGGTCACTGTAAAAAGTATCCCCGGTCTTGACAAAAAATAAATCTGTTTCTGCAGCACCTCTTCAAATTGTGTTCTTTGAGAATCAGTTAAACGTCTTTTTGCAAATTCGAAGTACTGATATATACATTACATATATCATTTGCACTGCAAGTGACTTTGGTTGAAGATCTTTTCTATTTCTTTTCAGACATTTGATATTCCTCCGACAATATAAAGCCACGCACTTTTTCTTCCTCCTACACAAATACATTCACATATTCCCAATATTATCCTGTTGGGAATAAGCGGTACAGAAAATGGATGGACAGATTCACAGTATTCCCGTTAACTCATTCATATGATTACGTATGTCACTAGTACCGTAATAAAAATCTAAAAAACCGGACGCGCACTTGCTGCATGCCTTATGTTTCCCTAACTTTTTACAGTGTTCTACAGCCGGGGAAATCCCGCAATTGTGTATAAATTGGAGCGTCCTCTAGCACGTTAAACTCAGTTCTACAGAGCTTTCTGAAAGACAGGATAAACCTTCCTAACCTTCCCTGGAGCACATCCATACACGGACTACTACTCGTGCATTTGATTTTTCCTTGTCGGATCGCGGAGTCAGTCTGTAAGTGCCCTAATATGAATTAATAACCTATTTTTTACATTGTTTACAGAATTGAACACGTTTGGAAGTGGATTTTATTTCTGCGGATATTTTTTAAGCATGAGTTAATGCAATGGACATCCTTTGCATACATGTGATAAAGTTGTTTTTTCCCCCAGTGACAGAGATAATATAATGTACTGTAGCCTACATATAAAGTTAGCAGGAGGAGTTGTAGACGCTTCTCTCCCTTCGCGCAAGTCTGCAAAAAAAACGACTCCTTTATCTCTTAATTTTAGATATTATTTCAATGTGGTATGTTTTTTATTTATTGCTAAATAGACTAAAAATAAAATTGAAAGTGTATTAGAAGAAAAATATCGGGTCTCTGAGCCCTCCTTGGGTCGGTAGTAGCCTACTGACTCTACTCTGACTCCTACGCGTAAACGCCCCCTCCGGGCGCACGGAGCACGTCCGTGAACTCCGCCTCACCCCTCTTAAATCAGCCTCTGGCCAGTCGCTATAAAACATAAGCCGGAACGGACGCGAGGGGTTCATTCTCACTCTCTTTCACCGAAGGTTTCTCTAAATAATTTGCATTCCTTCCCTGTTCTTATTTTAGGAAAACATGCCGATTGAAAGAATGAGGATGAGGCCATGGCTGGAGAAGATGATCAACTCCGAGTCCATCACCGGCTTGAATTGGGTGGATAAGGTGAGAAACTTGCAGCAGACCGACGTTTTCCATGTTTCCTGCTCCGAAGGGGGGCAGAGGTAAAACTTTGAAAGTGGACTTGTCTTTGGACCGGACAGCGTTGCGCACAAGCGCTCGTCTTCGTTGTCGTTCAGCTGTCAGCGTAACTTTTTTTTTTTGGTGGTTGTTTGCGGAAACTTGTTTGGTTTCGACCTGCTTTCAAGCAGTAAATAGCTATAAAGTAGATATTAAGTAATTAAGGAAGTCTTCCAAGTTCTGCACGCGAGTTAGCGACCAAATACGCAAAAAAAGAAAAAATATGTAAACGCGCTGAATAACAATTAAGTACTGTTGCTGTTTGTTTTGATAGTTCTGCGGTTACTGCAAAAAAAAGCTAAATATGATAATAATTCTTTGCAGTTCAGTTACATGCACCAGCAACGACAGCTTCCTGTTGTATTTGAAAACTTGTTTTCTTATTTTCACCATCGGTTATGTGAAGCCAGTCTAAATATTCAAACGCACATTTCTTCTCTTTCAGGAGAAAACCATGTTCTCGATTCCTTGGAAGCATGCAGCTCGGCATGGCTGGGAGCTGAACAAGGACGCTTCTCTGTTCAAAGAATGGGCCATTCACACAGGTGAGCAAACATGTAAAGGAACATAGTTTGTTTGTTTTTTCTGAAAAGAAAAATTTTCTTTTTTTTGTGGGGATAAAGTGTTAATCTTCCGACCTTTTATGTAGGAAAATATGTCGAGGGTCAGACTTGTGATCCCAAGACATGGAAGGCCAACTTCCGATGTGCAATGAACTCCCTGGCCGACATCGAGGAGGTGAAACACCGGAGCATCAACAAAGGACACCAGGCCGTGCGTGTGTTCAGGATGCTTCCTGCAACTCCCAAATCTAAAGGTGAGAGAAAGATTATATTTAATGTGGTCCAGTTTTTTTTTTTCAAATCTTAACGGGGTCAGTTTGACCCACAGTCACACTATTAACTGTTTTCCTCTGTAAAGTAATTGAAATCCCTTTTTCTTTCTCTGTCCCAGAAAAACAAGCCAAAGCAAAGGAGACAAAGAAAAGGAAGAAGGTAAATGCCGTAGATCTTGTCTTGCAATTTGTTTCCACGTATAGGCGCATTCAAATAACGCCGCTCTCAGGCTGACCTAGTTAATATTATGGAAATAGCATTAATGCATCAAACACGTGCAACATACAACAGGTGCTCTATTTCTTCTTTTTTTTTTTACAAACCTAATCGGATTTGGCTTTTTTTCTTTGGTTTCTACAGAGCAGAGTGGTAAAGATGGAGGAGGACAGCGACTACAGTGACACCCAGTCTCCTATTAATGCCCCCATGCCTGAAGAAATCCTGTCCAGTCAGGACAACACATGTGACAGCAGCGACAGGAAGAACCTGGCCCAAGATGGTAAGCAAAAATTGTTTTCTGAAAATTTGAATTTAGTCCGCTGATGCGAGAACACATAATCGTTTGCCTTGTGGCGGCCCGACATCAGAATAGATGCGAACTGAAATCTTCCGAGCAACAGGTGAACTTAAGGCCGTTATTATTATTTGTTACAGATTTCCCTTTCGTGACTCCAGCCGAGGTCCCTGATTGGTCTATGTCACTTGAGATTGCGACAGAAACCTTTTCACCGGACTTTTGCCACAGATTCGAAGTTTCTCCTGACCACAGTATCGGTAAGTCATCAGCACCTCTCTACAGATTACAAAGTTTGGATCTGTTTCTATTTAAAAAAAAAAAAAGAATTGATATCGCAACACCGTTCTTATGTCCACTTCTTTTTTTCTCCCTCTTTCTTCATCGTGATCTTCCAGACTACCCCATTCTCCAAGACATTATTGACGTAAGCATGGCTTTCAGTTCTTATCTCTTACTCACATGCATTTGTCATTGAAAGGATTACCCGTGGTGGTCTTGCCTGTTTGGCTCGTGTAATGAAGCTAACACATTAAGGCTGACAATTCCTGTTGGGCAACATACAGCTGTAGTGAATCCTATGTTGCTCTTGCAGATTTGCCAAGAACAGGAGAAAGACTTACAAAGGATGTACTACGCAGACTACCATGGGTCCCTGAGCAATGACCCATGCACAAGTCCAGAGAGCCAGTGGAGTGGCTCTTTGTCAGGTAAATATAGACATTTTATTAGACAGGACAGATGTGTAAATCGTTGTTTCATTTGTTTACTCATTTGTTAAAACCTGCCTATGTCATTCATCTTAGATCGTACATGTGGCCGGGTTAGCATGTAGGGGCTGATGAAATGAGCATGTTGGTCACATCTCCAAACATTTCCTAAAAATGTGATCTCTCTTGTTTTGCAGGAGATGACCTAGACGACGCGCCACGGTACACGACTTTGGACACAAACTATACAGCCCCAACAAATGACTTATGGGAGATTTGTGAACAGATCACAGGCAGAACATAGATCTTCAGCACTGGATAGGATGGTACATTGACACTTTGGACTTTCAAGGGCTCTTCCTGTCCCCCCCCCCCCCATCCACTCATTAAGCTAAAGCGACGCCAACTCCCTGTTTCTTGGGTAACAGTTCAACGGACCGTGTTGATCTCCCCCACTCATCCTGTGACATTTTGAAGTACACATCATCCGCGTCCGACGAACAGAGATGTGTTTTTTGTTGTTGTTGTTGTTGTTGTCTTTATTTTGGCTGGTTCAAAACATATGTGGTGACAGTTGACAATGACTTGCTATGGCGCAGAATCTGTTGAATTTAGGCAGGGCATTACATCTTCAACATTCACGGCTGTTCATAATTTGGAGGTAAACCAACCTCAAATGAAGAGGCTAGTTCCTAACATGTAGTGGGTAGATACTGCAAAGTGTCAAATACTTAACAGTCTCATGTTATATTCCGTTATATGTACAAGTGAACTTAATAAAAATGGGGAAAAATACACTCTTGCTTTGCAACTCTCCCAACAAACCTATTGGTGAAAGCACTTATAAAATATCTGTTTAAGGTTATAACAGCTGTGATCATTTTTGTATATAGTTGTGATGTTTTTTTATTGAATAAAGAAAACCTGAAAATAATCTCTATGATTGTTGACTATTTATTCATAGATGCAACTTTGAAATGGCTCTTTGTTATGAAGTCACTGATTTCAAGCAAGAACTGAACTGACAATTCCTACTAACTTGTCGTCTGGCAAAGCACCAGACCTATGTAGCAGCAGCAGATGTCCTCATGAAAAACATATCATTTGTAATAGTAAAGAAGGCCAAATAGGATATACATTGTGCTCACTTTTGTCAAAGACAAGGCGTTAGTGGCACCATGTATTTATCTGCAGGTCCCCAATAATCCCCAACAATCTCCAACAAATACGAGAACAGATTGTTAATTAATTTAATGCTGACGTGCATAAAAACGATCGGCTTCAAGGGTGGCAAGGGGTGTGACAAATAAAGTCAAAGGTATGAATCTTATAAATATGTGGACCCGTTTAACTTCTGTTGGGATGGGGACGGCATTTCCCCCATTCATCTGAAGTTCCTTTTATGGGTTGATAATGAGGTATATGCAGGCAGGTTAATTTTGCTTCAAACATGTCAGTGTGGTTTTTCTCAATCAGGTCATGAAAAGTTCTCATAAAGAGGTGAATTAGTTTCTTGGCTCTTAACTTGATGAAAAAAAGACAATAAACATATAGGACTGTTTAGACATGAGAAGAGAGCCAGTCTGAAAGCTTCAGTGTTGAGTAAACACACTTACAGTTTATCATGTGACTTCTTAAAAGCCATTATTGAAGCCCATTGAGGCTTCATTACATTTCCTGTAATAAAAAAAAGAGAAGAAACCAAAGCTTTGGGTTTTTTTTTTTGGACCAAAAATGACCAGATTGTCTCTATCTGTAGACAGGGTTAGGCTACAACATACTGTATTGTAAAATGTACTGTGATAAGTTACTTAACGCTATTTACTCAGGAATATCTACTGTCAACCAAACGTAATCAAATCAGAATTTTTATGCACATATTTCTATTGGCCTAAAATACAAAACAGCCCACTGTCACTGTTTTTTTTCTTCAAATCAATGGTCCTTATCAGTTCATTGCTCCTCAACCAGAGGTTTCCCCGATCTTCACATGTTTATCTTCCACTTCTAATCAGGAAGTGGAATGGCCCAAATCCATACTGCACTAAATAAAACCAACTGCAACCTTATTCACTGTAATATCATATATATTTGAACATAGTTGATATTTAAAGTCAGACAAATCGAATCACCCATGTTGACCTGACGTCTGCATGTGGATGCTATTCATGTTGTTTTGTGCCACATCGTAAAGACGATTGGGGATTTTTGCTGTTAATGCTTGCAGTCTACAATCTAATTTTGCATCTGTAAAATGTGCAGGATCCCTATTTTGTGGAGTCTTAAGACATGAAAAACATGTTGCTCTGTTTTATTCACATGTGTCTCATTTTTACTGGGCCTTTATTCAAATTTTTTTTTCAAAAGGCCACTGTCACAAAGATTAAACTCAATCCAACATTTCTCTCTTCAAGCATTTAGTGGTATGAATTCCATCCATTTTCTGTACCACTTATTCCCAAGGGGTCACCAGAGACTATCCCAGCTGACCATGGACGAGAGGCGCGGTACACTATGATTGGGTCTCCAGTCCATCGCAGAGCCACACAGAGACAAACAACCACAAACACACTCACATTCACTCGTAGGGGGGGGGGGATTTAGAGGATACAGTTGATCCACATGCAGGTTTTTGGGCGGTCAGGAAGCCGGAGTACCTGGAGAGAACCCACACAGACACAGGGAGAACATACAAACTTCTCACAGAAAGTGGTGTGAGGCAACGGTGCTGACCGCCAAACCCTCCTGCTGCCCTGGTAGGAATTCATCCAGCTCAAGTCAAAGGAGATCAATTTTGTGTCTCAGAGTGCTTTTCAATATTATAACCCCCCCTTAAAAAAATCAAGCCAAGAAAATGCCATTTCTGTTGAATTTTTTTTCGATGATCCCAGTTGACTTTATCAGTGAAGCAGTTTGTGAATGATCCAGAATAACTGAGCCTGCATATTTTTGTTTGATATGTAAACTTCTGTTTTGTACCCGCATTGTTTCTTGTTATATTATGCACTAATGGAGAAACAAAAATTCACATGTGAGCCGATTATTTTTTTCAGACTAAAACTTAACTGTTGCTAAATGGTAAAAAAAAGTTTTACCAAAAGAACTGATTCCTGAAAACTGAATTCTGAAAATTGCTTGGTGTGGTATGACAAGTCAAATGACATGTCAGCAAGAATCCCATGTGATTTTAGGCTCCAGTGTTACAACTTAATGTTAGGGGATCAAAGAAAAGAGAACTTCTTGAATCCCACAACACACACAAATCACAAGTGACTCGATTTCGTTTCTTTATTTTCCAGTTTATTTTCATACATGGGACATGTGAAAAACAATATGATAAAACATTTCAGGGCTGAGCAAGAAAGAATGCCTACTGCTTTACTGTTTTAGGGAGAATCAGGAAATTTAAACAAGCCTGTCACACCTTAGATCCGAAATAGGAATAATATCTAAACAAATTCTCAGGTTGAAAACTGTCTAAATATATGTAAACATTAAAAATGAACTATTACTAAAGTCTCTACTGCAGCTACAGGGACTACTAGTAATAATCAGTAACAGTCACGTTTTTTGTGTGTAGTGTACAATATGAACTCCCTTAATAATAGTAGTTCAAGTTCAGTAAAAATCTGAAAAAAAAGCTTTGCCCATGATGTTTCAGATAATTTGAATGTAGGCCTAAATAATTTTGAAAATTTTTAGATTTAATGTTGATCATTTAATTGGTCCTTTTTAGTCATTAAAAACTGCTTTGTGTCATAATTGCATTAGAATGCTGAGATATATTTAAAAGGATTTGAACAGTTTTACCGGATTTTCAAATTTACAGTTTTATTTTGAATTAAGGGGTGATTGTAAAATATCTGGGTGGTTAAGGGTTGTAAAAATACTTTGACTTCTGTGACGGGAAACTCTAGAGATTATATAAGACTAATAAAAAATGTGGTACATGACAGTTTAAACTAGTTTTACAAGTGCATGAACACAATATAAATGTCATAATGTAGCTGTTAAGTAACAAAGGAATTATTAATCTGCAATGTTAATGCAATCCTTCACTAATAAAGTTAGGTTGAACCTTTGCTATAATTTTTTATATATCTGACATGCCCAGCGTAATGGAGTGCTATCATAAAAAGGGAGCAACAATGTATAGTTAGGTACTTTCTTTATGAAACAATCATGAAATTGAAGATGAAAAAATATATATTAATCTAAACATGTAGTCACAGTGTAGAAGTTGGGGATAGCAGACTTTACCAGGCAATTAGACCAAAAAAAACAGATGTGAAACACTCTTTGTCCACACCTAAGTTTCTGTATTGCTGTATGTGGATTTTTTTGCTGCATGTGCATTTTTGTAACTCTTTTAATACTTTCATTATCTTTCCATTTAAGACACGGTTCCCTTAAAAGGTGGGCTGTCATGACACCACTGTCTTCCTCCTTTCCTCCAGTCGTACAGGCGAAGCGTGGCGGCCACTCTGATTCCCTGCAGGCCACTGTCGAAAAGAGAAGACAAAAAGGCATGATTAAGCACATTTGCTTTATCATAGGGCAAAGATTCTCATAATCAGGGCCCATTCAAACTTCTAAACCCGGATACTATAAAGAAAAGAGCAAACATCAAAGAATTTTCAGCACCATTTGAGAGTCACATACAAAGATTTTTTGGAGAAAAAAAGTTTGCCAAAAAATCTGTGCCGACCCACAGAAGTCTGTAAAGGGCATTAAGAAATGTTGATATCACCTTCGACCAATGCATTCAGTATAAACGGTCCATCCACAAACAGATAATAATGGCACCCACTATATGCCAACATAAACTGTGTGTCACAACAAGCACAGGTCAGACGCAAAGTGAAAGGCAACTTACAATATCTAAAATCTGTGCGCAACATGACAGAAATGATAAAAGTATATTGTTATCGACACCCTATATTCTTTTGGGATGACATTCTCATATAAACTATTGTTTGCCAAGGGCAATATAATTTATTATGCGTTACTAACTGTCCAAAGAGCAAGACCTGGCAGAATTGATTATTACTGTGATGGGCTAACATTTAACTGAAACACAATTCTTTATCAGCCTTCTGCACATTTTATGAAAGCCTTCTACTCTAAAAAAAATCCTCCAAATAAACTGTGGCTTTCTTGTTACCATAAAAAGTATTCACCAGAACTCTTGCCATTGATTGTGAAATTAAACTTTAATGATAATGATTGACAGACAAAATGATTTAAATGAATAGTTTTGATATACCAGCTGATTTTCATCAATTTACACTTGACTTTAAAAAAGACCCCCCCCCCCCCCAGTATGTTTTTGTTCAGTGTATTCATACTTTAAAAAAAAAACATGGTCAATTTCCAGTCCAGAGGTTTTTTTTATAAAAAAAAAACACCAGAGATGGCAACTAAAGTACATTTCATGGTTAATACTGTGCCTTTCACAAGAGAGAATGTTCAATATTGGCAGCATTTCATTCTTAAAGAAACTTGCTCTGTGAAATAATGGAAAAGCCTGTAGAAGAGGTGGTAAAACGGATTTCTTTGCTCACAGATGCAACAGCTACAAATATGTCCTAAACCCATTGCCACAGACAGAAAATTCATACCTTTTCCATAGGTTTCGGATCATTTGACTGTCTTAACTGTGATACAGGATGATGAAATCAGGTGTCATTACTGGAAGCGCTCATTTTCAACCAAAATGACTTTGCGACTGTGTTTAAATTAATAAAGGACTTAAAATGTTAAAGCACACTTTAAATGCAGAATGGATTATTCCACAGTATAGAATAAGGCTCTGTCCCTGGTTCTGAGCCTAGAAAAAGGAACTGTTTAACACTATATATATATATATATATGTATATATATATATATCAGGCAGCAGCAGCGAGGTAAGTAAAAAAATCTTGTAATTGAAGC